CCCCAAAAGGAAGCCCCATCCCCACGGTCATCCCAGCACCCCAAAAGGAAGCCCCATCCCCACTGTCATACCAGGACCCCAAAAGGAAGCCCCATCCCCACTGTCATACCAGGACCCCAAAAGGAAGCCCCATCCCCACGGTCATCCCAGCACCCCAAAAAGAGGCCCCGTCCCCACTGTCATCCCAACACCCGGAAAGGAAGCCCCTCCTCACCGTCATCCCATCCCTCGGAAGGGAGGTTCGTCCCCCTCAGCCGTCACTCCCCAGCCCTGGCACCCACACATCCCCTTCCTGTCTCCGGATGGGCCTGTGCGACATTTCATAGAAAAATACAAAATTCAAAGTTAGCCGGGCGTGGTGGCAGGTGCCTGTAATCCCAGCCACGGGGGAGGCAGCGGCAGGAGAATCACTGAAATCCGGGAGGCGGAGGTTGCAGTGAGCAACCTCTCAAGAAATGGGATCCCGCTGCGTGGCCCTCTGTGTCTGGCGTCTCCCACGGAGCGTGGCACGCTCAAGCTGCGCCCTCGTGGCCGCCTGGGTCCGAGCCCTACTCCTGCTCGGGGGTGGCGCTCCGGCTTGTGGAGGCCTTGCTGCGTTTGTGGGCGCTTCGGAGGGTGGCTTCATCTGCGCCCGTCCGTGTGGATCCCTGCTGGGAGCCGCCTGTGTGGCTTCGGACGGACCTCCCTCTGGATGAGACGCTGGGAGTGGAATCGCGGCGTGTGCCGTGACTGTTTCACGGCCACCCTGTCCCTGCAGAAGCTTTTGTTTCACTGGGAACACTTCGGAACACACCTGTGGGCTGGCCACCACCCAGGCTCCGACCGCGCAGCAGGGCACTGGCTCCAGGGGACTTTACCCCTTCCAGGGTCCCTCCCGCGTGGAAAGCCAGTGAGGGCCCAGGACGACTCTCCCTGCACCCGGCTGTGGCCAGGCGGGCTGGGGCAGGGCTGATTCAGCTTGGCTTCTCTCCTCTCCCCTTCCCTCCTTTAAATTTTTTGAGACAGAGGCTCGCTCCGTCGCCAGGCTGGGGTGCAGCGGGGTGATCTCAGCTCCCTGCAGCCTTCACCGCCAAGGTCCAAGTGATTCTCCCGACTCAGCGGCCTGCCACCGCGCCCGGCTAATTTTTGTATTTTTCGTAGAGACTCAGCTTCACCATGTTGGCCAGGATGGTCTCGATCTCTTGACCTTGTGACCCGCCCGCCTCAGCCTCCCAAAGTGCTGGGATGACAGGCGTGAGCCCCTGCACCTTGCCTCCTCCCTCCTTTACCCCCTTCCCTCTTCCCCTCCCTCCCCACATCCCTCTCTTGCACTTTGGAACGAGGGCAGATGGAGCCAGATGCCGTGCCGTGCAGCGACACATGCAGACACGCGTGCTCCTGGAACCCCTGGCGAGGGCTGTGGTGCCTGGCGCCCAGGAGATGCCCCAGAAGCCTTTCACGGTGGTGAACCTTGACTTTTTGCATCTTTTGTGCAAATGCAGCGCGGCAGGCGGGAGGTGGAGCGTGTGGGCTGCAGCCTGGCCGCGCTTTTCCACCCCAGGGGACCCCGTGGACGCCTCTCCCCTCTTCCTCCCCCTGTAACCCAAATGCCCAGAGAGGAGTTTGCAGATCAAACCAGCCAGTGCCTGCTCTTGCTTTTGTTCCCTTTGGTCGGGCAAAAGCTTTTTTTTTTT